TATAATATGCGTTGTGGACGACTTCTTATACGTCGCATTTCAATTTAATAGAGCTTGCGAGCTCTAAATATAAAATAGATATCAAATATATGGCTAAACATGTTCGAGTATGGTAACAAAATGTTCAGGTAGTCTCAATAACGTATGACCAATATTAGGATCCTTTTGTTGTGTTAGACACTAGTTGTCGCCCGCAATTTCGTTCGCACTGAATAAAAAAACCTAATTAGTAGCCTATGTGTTCTTCCAGAATATGTTCTACGTCTATGTAAAATTTCAGCCGGATCCGTTCAACAGTTCTGGAGGTAGCTTCAAACAAATCCAACAAACAATCCAAACATTCGCATTTATAACATTAGTAAGAGTAATTTGACCAACGGTTCAAGGGGTGTACTAAATTACTTTACGCTGTTTTCAATAATGAGATAGTATGAGGTGTAATAACAGACTCTAACAGACAGAGAACAGAAACAGACTCTATTAGTGATTGATATTTTTTAATTACAATTCCAAGCAAAATGTTTTCTCTTCGTTTATAAGTATGAATCATTCCTTTATCAATGTAATCGAAGGAAATATATTAAAGTTCACACTATAACAGATATATTAACTTGTTACTTCAGACAGGTGACTGAGATATCATCAATGTTGTAACCATGTTTCAATAATAAAATTCAATCTGATTCTTTAGCTTAAAGGATTTAAAATATTCGAAGGAATAAATTGCATATGAAAATAACATCCAATATATCCGGTTTACCGTATTTGTATATAATTAGCGATTATATTTAAATACATAAATACATTACCTTTTACGATGATAGTTATAGTTTATTTATTTAGTTTTGGATTTAATTTATTATGACATTATTGGTTGTTGACAGACGATAAGTGTGCAGGATTTATATTTTTAAAGCCAGCTTATCGTATTATTTACAGAGTTAGAGTACTTAGTTATCGTTTTGCCATTCATATTGCGAAATGGACTTATTTCATATGGCCCAAACTGGTGAGTCATAAATAATATTTTGAATAGAATTTACAGTCACCTTGACCGATAATACGATCGTAAGTATGAACGGCTCTAAGTTTGCTTGGTCGTTTTTAATTATAACATGGTACCACTTAGCGTTGTTGTATTCGTTTGTATTATATTTGTATCGATGTCAGGATTAAATTTGGTATCGGTTCAAAGCGAGCGCTGCACGGCGACTGGGATGGCGATGGCGACGTAGTAGGCAGCTAAAATACTCCGCGTCGATACGGGGATCAATAAATTAAAATTAATTCGGCGTGCGAACGGTGAGATCCGATACGCGATATCGACGCCTACATTTATCATTCGCTAACACGTCGGACATTTCACAGGGGACGATTGCTAGAGGAATTTAACCTCTAACTTTACTACGCTATGGGTCAGGTGGATACAGACGGGTGTAGTGTAATGATCTGTCGCTGGAACAAAGGATAACACGTCTAAAGACAATATGTGGAAGGGATAAGTTGGCATATGTTGGCTTAAGATCGGAACACACGTCCGCGCACGCCGCGCGCATGCGTATGCGGCATGCGTCGAAGCGCGGCTGCAGCGACGCGCGCAGACTGGACGACGCGGTTCGGCCTTGCCGCGCTACAAGATACTTCTCACAATGTTCCCACTGCTGTTCTTTTTAAATTAGATTAATAAATCACGTTCTCTATAAGCATTCTTCTGAGAAATTAATATAACTACCAGTATGCATTAGAGTAGTCGTAAATTTGTACGAAATACCATAGTTTCTGTAGATACGAGTTGTTCTTTTGTGAGTTGTTTTATTGTAAATGTTTAATACATTTTAATATATAGGAACGATAGGATAAGACTACGTTAACAATATGAAGCAACTAGATTTTCTTGTAAAGCACATATACTACACCACTACATATCTGTATTGTAAAATCAAAGATATACATTCAAGTAATAAATCAATTTGCAAACGTCTATTAATAAAAATGAAACTTTTTAACAATAAACTTTTTCCGTAACAAAGTAAAAGGGGTTGCAATATAGCCGTTACAGCGTGTACACAAGAGAACGCATCGCTAACACTTGCGGAGGCCTGTGGAGTCGGCCAGATAAGATCTGATGCCACATCTGCTGGTCGGGGGCTGCGTGAGGGCAGGGGTTCCGATTCTATTCCGGTGTTTTGTTTCCGTACACACTGTGAGAACCAGCTGAACCGGTTTTGATTGGATTTTCATTTAATATGAATATGTATACATATACTTATGTTAAATACGAAGAAAGAATGAGAGTTAGAAAACATTTTTTTTTTGAGAAGTTTGGTATCAACACATGTAGAGATACATTGGCCAACAAAATTAATGACATCCTAAGAGCTTTGAATCTATTTTTTTTCTCCGGCATCAATCTTCTCATATTGAAATTACAGTTAAGAGTTTATTTTTTTTTATCCGTATGGTTCGTATGGCACAAAATCCCCACACAATCGCAGCTTAGTGGCACATTGAGTATCTAGCACAATGGCCGAAACTTTGCAGCCCTTTAATGAATAAAAAGCTCGACTGGTGGCCGGTACTATGTTAACGCTTTCCCATCCAAATCGTTAAAAAGCATTCGATTTTTATACTACATTGCTTGGTCGTTGTATCGCTGGTAGTAACATGGTAGGAGGGCAGGTAGGGCATGTGGCGAGATGGAGCGATAACAGGAATTATTCATACGCGTTATCGGGCCGCCATCGCCGGTGGTATTGTGCGCGAGGGGCGGCTGCCGTGGCCGCTGTCGAAGCCCCGCTCCATGTGTACTCTGCCTAATGTCACGCCGTCGATTGATTATTGTTTTATTCGCTCGGTAATGATGCTAGGGGTGATTTATAACGTAAAATAAAAGTTTTGCTTTTATAGCGTTATGGGGAATCATAAAATGGACGAAAGCTTTTTTGCCTTACTTTTACTGTTTTTTTTTATTTAGAAGAAAGACACTTAAAACACTAAATTCATGTAGTCTAAGTTTTGCTAAGCTATTTGAAGTTTGTATTTACTTGATGTATGTTGTATACGAAGGAATTAATTGGGCAACAGTACACATGATTTAGTTATTCATTCCTCGTAGAGAGCATTTCTCTGCGCCACGCTCGTAGTGGGGACGCGATGTACGGGTGCCCTTGCGATACGATCGCCGATTATCTGCAGTGCGATCGACACCTGGGTACAGGCCATGCGGGCCAGGCAATCGTTTGGTTTACATTGTTGATGTTCGTATTATGTTTTGATTCCTCTCTACATTAGATTGTTGATTTTTGGAGCTTTATCGTAACTTATATATTAAATAATGTCTCATAGCTTTTCTATATTGTAGTATTATGGTCGTAAAATACCTTTAACTGCGAGGAACGAAACAAAGACAAATATTCTGTTATGTATGTCGTATTTTTTAATTTTTAGAAAATTTTGTGTTTTTATTACTTTGATAGTAAAGTTCGCTTGTTTGTTCTATTTCGAAGGCTGTTAACCATATGCAATTTATATATTTGTATTAGCATACATTTATAATAATAAATTAATAATCTATTCGATATCTAGATTAATGTTAATTTATACTAATACGATTAAGCGCAGCTGTTTATACAATTAATAAATAAGATTTGTATAATTGAATTAATTATTAATTATATATAAAAATTTCAAAGTAAATTAGTACGATCTTTTACTTCTAAATATATCAAAAATATTCATCATCGCGTAAATGTAATGTTTCATTGTATTGGAACTTTTTTGCTACTCTTACTTTTGAATACCAACGTTTCATCGGATAAAAGTATGAGAACCAATGACTTTACATATGAAATTGTATGTATAGACATTATAAATTGTAATCTTATATAATAAATATAGGTTTGGCAGTAAATTAACTGTAACAGAGTAATCATTTGCTAACCCGCGGAGCACCACAGGGATGCGTCAACAATTGCCCAGCCGTGGGCTGTGGGGTGTACTGGGGAAGGGCCCACAGCGACCAATCCTCGCTCAAGCAGACTAACAGCACCCCACAATAACGAGCCCGTACATATGTTGGCTTTCACTTTTATAAATATTTATAATTGCCGAATGTAGTTTGTGGAATTGAATGGGGTGTGAGCTTCCCTTAAGTTTATTTAAAAATTGTATGTAATGTCCCATGCATGTATCGCAATTATGCGGGAAAGAAATGAGTACATTTAATTTGTCGAAAGAAACTGGTATTAATGACCTCTTATTTTTCATAAAATCGATATCTAGTCTTTCACAACTTATCATATTTCCACTTATGATAACTTTACAGTATAAATCATGCTAATGTAACAAACTACTTACTAAGCCATATATACGTAAAAGAAAAACGTTAATTAAGTTGGATTAAAAAAATCAAAACTGTTCATGATGTTAATATTAATCACCTTTTAGTTGTCTAATTAATGAAATTTCCAACTGGGCCACAATTTTAATTGTTTGTTGCCGTGGTTGTGACACAGCGCTTTTGTAACGATTTCGGAAAGAGCGGCCTTTGTTCACGGACGCAGCCAACGAGACCGACGCAAACAATCATTATTTGTTTATCAAATACACATTAAAGCTGCACCACTATACCACTGTTGTCTGATTATAATTACGTTCAATAGAGATGTCGCGTGAAAGAGCTGCTGTTAAAGGGAAATGATATTAATTTGGGCGAACGCGAGCAACAAAACGTTTTTAGTTGCGGCTTTAATGATGGGACAGCGGCCCAGCAGTTGTTATGAATACTACTGAACTGATACATACGAGTTCAAATATGTGCCCTTTTTATAGTTCATTTAAGAAATCGCTTACATTCCGCGTGGATGAATCCTTTTATACACAGGCTTTTGTTTTCCTTACAAAATAGGAGAATTTCTTAAACGTGTCTAATTTGTGAAATTAAAATAGTTACATATGTATAGGTTATATAATAGTTTCTAATGAAAGGTTTTGTTGTGCAGGTCGAACGTTAAGCGGCGGCAGCGGGCAGGTGTGCCGGCCGCACTTTCATACGCCGCTGCACCCCTGGCTGGACTCGAAGGCACTGGGCGGTGGCGCGTGGGGAGGCGGCTTCCAGCAGGACGGCGCGCAAGCCGACAAGCCACTCTCTCCCGCGCAGCACCACCATCCACACCCGCTCTTCTCCTTCCCTCCCACTCCCCCCAAGGATTCGACGCCGGACTCGGTGGCGGCTGCAGCGCTGGGCCAACAGGACTACCAGGCAGCCGTGGCGCACGCAACCGCCATGAGCGTGGCCTTCATGCAGCAGCAGCAGGAGCTGCCGCTGTGCGGGGACGTCAAGCCCATGATGGGCGCGCCGCCCAGCAAGCAGCGCGAAGGTGCGCAACCCGACTCGTGCCCCCAGGACGCGAGCCAGCCCTCCGGGGAGTACAACGCGCAGTACAATGCCGCCGGCGGCGACTACTACAGCTACCAGGGCAAGGGCTATAGCCAGCAGCAGAGCAAGCCGCGCCCCAACAAGACGCGCACGAGCGCCGGTGAGTTCGCGCGCTCCTCACTGCACTCGCCTCGCCCTCTCTAACTCTCTAACTCCCTAAGCACTCGGCACTACATTAACGGCAACACTAACTTATCCGATCACAATCTTATACTATTTAAACATTTAATCGAAAACGTTAATAATTTTACATTATCAAGGAATGTATTTTCAAAGTTATAGTTACCTTATTATTTAAAATTGTCTAAAAGCAAAATAGATAATAATGAAGATGTATTACCTGATTTAGAAAGTACTTATGTATTTAAGTGTCAACAGCAAAGCGCTTTAAATGAGAGAACAGCTTGTACTGCGGTCGGTGCAACGAAATATGGCTTACACTAAAGTCTATCTTCGTTAATCAGTCAATAAATCAAGCGCAACCATAGCTTGTTAACAGACGCAGCTGAACGGCAGTCGCGAACAGCGACCACATAATTAGAATCTCATCACAGATTGTCCCATTCACGAATTATCTAGATTAATATTTCATTTGGCATTTCTAAATCATATTATCTAATAATTGTATTGGATGAGATGTGATCGGATAAGCGTGGTGTCTCGCACTGGGGGTTGTGGCGCTAAATTATATCTTCAAATATCGCAATGATTCGCATCGGGAAGTCGTTTCGGTTTTATTCGTTAATACTAACGCTTTTACTAATTGCTATGGTGGTGGTGGATAAAACACTATACTTATACATATTTGTAATTGGTGATGGGTTTAATATATCTGTACAATAAGACGCAAATAATAGAAAGGACAAAACAAAAAAAAAAACGGTAAATAAAAACACTTTAAAATGTGGACTTCAGCAAATTATAAAGATATTTCTGAGTTCAGAATAGGTCATAGCGGAAGATCCTTTTGTTACCTTTTGCATTTACCATATCTAATTTGAAACTGCAAGTTGCTAGTGTAGTGTTCATTGTTTCTCTGGACATGTGAACCGGCGTGGTCGCTACGGCTAAGGCAACCGGCGGTTCCCACTACTTATCTAATTGCGCCGCGCTATTGTTTATACGTGAGTAATTAAACAAATGCTCTTAACTAGATTTCTACTCAATTTTCAAGTGGATTTACGAAATCGACGCGATGAGCTATTTCCCCATTTCGTTTGGCAAATACTAGCCATCTATTACGAAGTATATAGCAGTCTTAAAAACTTCCAGTCCGTGATATATGAGCGCAGTAAGCGAAGCGGTCGCGGCTCGCGGCTGTTCTATCCGATTGACCTTTATATTAATACGACCATTGTTGCTACCAACAATTGGATGCAAAATTTTCGCAATCGAGAACTTAAATTATGACGACTTTACATTTCTAAGAATTACTCAACGGTAATTGTATTATAGATTAAAGCAGCCGCTTTATTTTATGCATAAATATGCAATTATAACTCTGGTAGTTGTTAAGCTTTGACAATGGAGAGAACAAAAACCGGCAACCGCTTATTGTGTTTCATTAGGGACGAGCCATATTATATAGTTCCCGCTAACGTTACCATTGGATATACAAACTCTATTATGTTTATTCAATATTTTGTGAAATTTAAAATGAATTTACATTACGTTTCAATCTCACGAACTTCTAATCTAATCTGAGTTCTCATGGAATAATTAGTTGGGATGGAGAAGACACGTCTCTAATTATGCAGGAAAAGCTGTGCTATGTATGTTAGAACAGCAAATGTAAGGCTATTGTTAATTTACACTCACCGTTAACATGAATATATATTTGTAACGGAAGTGTAGTAGTATATATTTTGATAGACTTATTAAACTAAAAAGATAAAAATACTCCAATTGTTTGTTACAACATTTTCACTGCCTATTGTTAGTTTTAGTAACAAACTAGTGGGTTTTTATAAACGTTACCAATTCACAACGTACTCTTAACAAAAGCTATTAATCTTATGAAATAAGTCTTCTCTTTCTCTCCCTCAAGGTGCCTCTCCATTTAATGGAGGATGGCCGTCAGCTAAGTGAACTTTCGCCGATCTTGTGCCAAGTGAAATAAATGTTCCACGCTGGTAATATTCGTACATTCCTTGAAATTTCGTATCCACGATTTCTTTCTTCGTCCAGCGCGTCTTTTCCCTGCAATCTCTCTTGAAGTCTTCTCTTTGTAAAGTATATTATTAGAAAGTGATTTTATAAGTCTATTAGATAAACGACTTAAGAATTTTACTGTAATATTCTTATCAATTTCATAGTTACTTTTTTTTTCTTTAGTCTTAAAATTAATAAACATGTTTTCATAAAAATCAGCGTATTTAATGTGTTTAACAGAATCTTACTTATATTATAAACGCAAATGTATGGATGTAAGAATGTTTAGTAGAATGTATTATCAGAACTGCTACATGGATTTCGCTAAAATCTGGCACAGGTGTATAACATATCCAGGAGGAACACATAGGCTACTAATTAAGTTTTTTTTATAATTTAACTCCGACTCGCTGGCGACAGCTTGTATTGGTATAATAAAAGAATCTTAGGTTATTTATGGCTACAAATGGTTATACGATCATTATGCATAGCTAGTCTGTGCATAGTTAACGTTGGCATAAACTTGTTCAAGTGGTTGTTGAAAAAAAGCAATATTTACGAAGCAAGACGTGTTGGATAATTGGAAATTGGTTGTTAGCTTGTTTATTAAATCGCCGGTTTATTCTATTGCCAGTCGATTAGCCTTGGAAAATTTAAATAATAGCTTCTGTGTTTACTTCGTTTTATGAATTTTTATATCTTTCTTTTTTAATTTATATAAACAAGACTTGTTTGAGAATTTCAACTCAAACGACAAACTATTGTAGAATATATAATTGAATAAATTTAACTTTGATAATATCTTGGATGGCGATATGAGATAGTGAATGAATAAACCAGGCTATGTTCTAAATCTATATCCAATTTCAGCGAAAACCATGCAACCATTCAGAAGATACCTTCTAACATACATTCATCATTCGCATTTATGATAATACAAAGAATGCGAACATGTTGATGTCGTGATGAAAATATTCCTTGATTCAAGTACATCTTAGTTTCATGAGTCCGCTCTTCAAGTTTCCTAGGCATTGTAATACTAAGGTAGCGAAGTATTCAAATGGCTTGTGCGAGTGGCGGTGTTAATGTCGGTGTATCGGCGCAGTAAGTTAGTGGAAGCAATATTATGATAATACAGCTTGGCCGGATGTGGCCCATTCCATTGTTGCCGATCGCTTGACCTCGGACCTATGCTGTGGTACTAGACACGAGAGGAACTTGCAGCTTTGGAATTTAGCTCTTGTACTACTTTTTCAATTGATTTAGTTATGTTTGTTTGACATCCAGGACTTGATGTTTTTATAGTTTGGTTAATGGGATGTTGATCTTACTAATATTATAAATGCAAATGTGTGGATATATGGATGGATGTTTGTAGAAGGTATCTGTAAAACGGCTCAACAGATCTCGATGAAATTTGGGTTAGATGTAGAATAGTCTGGCAGAATCAATAGGCTAGTAATTTAGGTGTTTTTTTTATGCTGTGCGGATAAGTCGCAGGCGACAGCCAGTATGCTATACATCCAGTTTTGCTTATCGATTAACTTTCGACCTGTACATATATTATTAATTTCCTTTATTCAAGTTCATTCGAATGCCGTTGGTTTAATATTCATTATAAAATTCTTTAAAGAATGCAAATGCAACGGTTTTCTTAGGTTATAGAAATGTCTTTTGAGTCTTAAATTTAGTCTTATATGGTTTATTATCAATTGTCATACAAGTCATTACAGAACAAGCTTGTCTGTATGTCTGTATGCACATCACGTATGTTTGCAACAAAGATGTTTTGCGGATAGTTGCGCAACCAATTATCCGAGTGGTACATTCGGGAAAAGAGTTGATAGTACTATTCCATGATGATGTTCACGCGATTGTAGTCTTTATACCATATGAATAGTGTATATAATAGCAAGAATAGTTGTTTGTAATAGTCAGCCAAGCTAGCGTGTGCCTACTCCACGGACGGCCGGGTCAGAGGAATGAAGTCGAGACGGCTCTCTTAATAGTGTTATTTTTATTAAGTTTTTTTCTTTTTTTAGCGTTCTATTTATAATATTGCTAAATTTATAAACTTGCAGAAACGTAGTCTCATGTTTAAATGAAATAAATCTATATTGCTTAGGTTAGGTTAAATCAAAATTTTTGTTTTCATTTAAACTACATTTTCCTCCACGGCAAGATATTTAAACTTGCTAAATTTGTTAAGAAATTTCTGAATTTATTCATTATCTTAACAGGAATTAAAACATTAAGGCATTTTAAATAGACAGAGACTAGACAATAAAAAAAACAAATGAAATTGTCTAGTCGATTTTATCTAACCGCGATAATTTAACCAAACGAGATCCTGTTAGCGTATAAGAAAAAAAAAGCGAGATAAACAATGGTTTTTCGTTTAATTTACCATTTTGATTGTTTCCAAACAGCACAATGTGAGCCGTTAGAGCGGAGTATTTTGAAACAAGGCTGTAATGAATATTTTCGTGTTTAAAATCGTACCGTAGGTATTCACGGTACGATGCCCACACTGTTGAATACAATTGCACCAAAGGAAATTTGCATTTTGCTTTCGGCGGAACTTCAACGATTAATTCAATAATAAAACTGTCATTAGGGTACAGTGTAATAATTAAATTCGCTTAGGCTACTGTCAAAATAAAAGCTATAAGCACGTATGAACTTCAACCTACTTGTACTGTGACCGTTGAATTACATTACAGAAATGGGTAGGAAATTAATTTACTCTTTTAAATATACAAAATTTACAAAGAAATTAACTGTACCTGCGACTCCGTCCACGCGGAATTAATAAAAACTTAATGAGTATGTGTTTTCCAGACTATGTTCTACGTCTGTGCCAAATTTCATCAAGATCCGTCGATCCGTTCTGGAGATACCACAAGACATCTATAGATCCATCCATCTAAACATTCGCATTTATAATATTAGTAAGATGAATATAAAAGTAATTATAAAGAACTTTGCCGCCGTCTCGAGTGAATAATGATAATTACCACATCGATAATAATAGAATATTTATAAATTTATTATATATAAATGCATAATATGTCTATTAGTGTCAACACACTATTTCCGTTATAGTAATAAATTTATTCAACGTTTATGATTTATACATTTGCAACTTGACTTCATAAATTACTTCAAAACTTCGCCTATACTAGCCGTGACCTGCAGTTTCACTCGCCGCGTTATTTAATTTAAGCGAAATAAGATTAACTAACCACGGCCAGTTTTCATAGACATTTAATATTTAATATCTTAACATTAAAGAAATAACTGTTGTTTTCCTTACGACTCCTGTACATGTGACGTGTACCAACATTAAACCTTCATGGTGGGACTGTTAGTTTTAATTACACGAAGCCTCGCCGGCCCTGTGCTGCCTCGTCATACCTAATTATCTGAATGTATGCTAATAACAAATGCAAATATGATCGCTGCGCCATCGCGCCACTGGCGACCTCTGTGTGTGAAAAATGACTTCATTACTGTACTCAACATAATGATTTTATTTCAGTTACCATTGTAAATTTTATTCTAACCTCAAAATGCTCTGTCAGGTTAAAATCCAATCTCAACATACATTGGTTTCCATTAAAAATATTTGCATACAGCCGTGTAATTAAGGAGTAATGCCAGCCTTTGTGGCGCAACAATGTATAAGTTTTTGAGCAATAACATAATGGTTTTGTATGCAAAATAGCCTCACCGTTACGTGTTGATGGGCTGATGCACCGAGAGCGCGTCACGGTACTGCGCCGGCGAATCAGTCCTTCATTTAAATTACATTACGTTAACGTGGCCGCGGTCGGGTGTTGGGAGTTTTTCTCTCATCGATCGTCCAGTTTTTTTGTTTGTTTACGCTGCGTTGGCCACAAGAAGCGCAGAGTGGACTAGCGGCGGATTCTGCACAATCAGCTGAATCGGCGCGTGGATTCAGAGCAGGGACGTTTTCCCCACGCGCAAGGGGCGTGTGAAAAGTTTTCGCTCACTCGACGGCTCGAGTGGGCTCGCCGGGAGACTCTCAAAAAATAAAAACCGCCCACTCCGCTGCGTAAATACGGCAGATGAGAATCTTTTATCGCGGTCACGTAGCGCCGCCGCGTCACGACCGCGCACTCGGCCACTAAACGGCGGACCGCATTCTAATTTTTGAACAAATACAGGAATTTTTGCGTTCAAAGCTCAATCTTCGCTCGTCCGCTCCGAATAGGTTTATCTCTAGTCGGAGTTACAGTTACGAGGGCACTAAATCGTATCTTTATTTCGCGTCAAACTCACGTCTGGGTACAAAAGCGGTGTGTGCGGTTGATGTATCGATAGCCGACGAGTCGTGGAAATAAAGAAATAATTCTCACAGCGTTACCGAATTAACACCGTTACGTTACAGATTGAACCGTCCCGAACAATTATAAGGCCGGGTAATTAATCAGAAAGTCTATTCTCTTTAATAATACGTACGAGTGTATATGAGTGCGGTAAGCAGTAAATCTTGTAAAGCACAGCGCTGCTGCAGCCGCGGGCACCACTTTCACAATAGTTATCAATAGAGACGTTACAATCGAACGAAATCACTTCACGAACGAGAGACACCGTTCTAAAACTCTAACCGCGTGTAATATCCTATCATTTTTCTTAATAATCGTTATTGGTGTTTATTTATTAGAAACTTCGGAACAAATTACAGGCTTTATCGACGCCACAAAAAATAAAGGGTTAGCCCAAAAAGTGAGTCGTCGGTTCGATCGCAATAAGTTTTCGATAAAGTCCGGGCGATTTAATTGCCGGTTGTGATCTGGTTTTACATAAAAAAAGATGAATGGCCTCGGTGCCTTGAGCCCGAAGACCATTTTATGTTTTTAATAAGTTTTTTATTCATTTTATAACGTTTATTAGAGCACTTTCACCTTCCTCGTTAGATCCTGCCCGGCCCTCATTAGTTATTCAGCGCACCGCGATCTCCGAACGGGGACTTGATAAATCAGATCTAGATAGATATTGTTACGGTCTAGATATTTATCAGTTACACCTGTTATATAATTCAAGGAGAAATAAACTACATAGCAACGTAATATACTTCCCAAAGAAAGTGTAGACGAAAAAATAGCGGAATCATTTTTTATTGAATTTTCGATAACTAGATTAATAATAATTAAATAAAACTTTTTCAACTAAGCTATTTTATTATTCAGAATTAATTAATTAACAAACGATATGAACCATGATGTAATAAAGTTAGTCGATAAAAACCATTTATAGGAATAACGATAAGAACGTCATTATCCAGCATTATTACGAGTGCAGTTTTTTTTAGATAATGTATTGCCAGTTAAGTCATTCTTTAATTGGTCGTGTAACGTGTATGTGTGTATAGGTGTAACGAGCTTCTAAATTCGATCTCGGTAAATCATCGATCGTGTAATCGAGTTTAGAGAGAGGTGGGCGGCGCACGCGCATCCCATATGCGTGCACATCCTCTCACTAACAATGTGAACGCTCTTGTGAAATGCCTTGTTTTCTTCAAAAAAAAAAGAAGGCCAAAAGTGAAAAAAAACTGCAATATTTCCCGGAGGGCCGCTCGTTCTGGGGTCAAATTATATTTTATGATATGCATGGTTTAAAAAAGTTGAAGCATGGTATCAGTTAGTAGACTTGAAAGTAATACTTTAGATAAAGTTTATTATTAGTGTTTTAAACAAGTTAATAGAGCTTTATTTTTATTTACAAACATAAAAGTATTTACGGTTGAAGTGGTATGGCTTGCGTTGAAGATTGTTTAAGAGTTATATACTAAATATAGGTACATAATTACATATAGCAAGAATTAGCATGTAGGCAATACTTTGCTTTATAGCTACGTTTCTGCTCTGTTTACCAGACAGACGATCTCCTACATTTTTGCAACTGGCAATGTTTTATAACTACCTGCTTTTGTTGCTGTTCACTATAGAACATTAAAATAATTACTCATCAATATTAGTATGTTTTTCATTTACATTTTTAATCTATATTTAATTTTAGACATAGAAATTGTTTCGATTATTTTTCGAATTCGTAATATCAAAGTCTAGTTTACAACAATGGAAGTAACTTACTACCAATACAAGACTCTCGGGCGTGGAAGCCTGAGCTATGGTACTCTGAAGAGGTAAATGGTGAAATTTTGCCTACGTTCGTGTTGATACTATGACCGTTAAAGTTTTGAATTTGAGCCCCATTTTTCTTTACTTTTTATTGTATTGTATTTAGATATTAGTTGTATAATTTTAAGGGATGGTTGCATGTTGGTTTACTAGATTGTTAGTTGTTAGTAACTTTCTCTAGATTTTTCTTTGCGTGTATAAAAAAATCTTGATATTTTTCCTACGAGTGAAACTTCGTGCGCTTTCTCTAGTTAATTGTATACGTGGTGATTGCGGTTTATATTGCTTTCAAAGTTATAGTATATTTATTAGTAATAATTAAATGTGTATTTCATGTCTGCATGTTAGATTAGTTAGTGATATTCGATTTGTAATGTTTCTGAATGTGATTTTCTCTCGTCTTCCCCAGCCTGCCAGGAATCAGGTAAAATCATTCAGAAAACATACAATTATCACTAAATAAATGCATTCTTTCAATTCCATCTTTATGTTTCATCCAACATAAATTCTCCATGGTTAACAGATATCTTCTCTTTCATAAAAAAAAAACATTCCTTTGAATTCATTGCAGTGTAGCTTTCTTGCAGTTGTGTTAGTAGATTTGAATGTTGTTTTTATGATAACAGAGGGTCGAGAGTGCGTGAACTGTGGAGCGACAAGTACGCCGCTGTGGCGACGCGACGGCACCGGACACTACCTCTGCAACGCGTGCGGACTCTACTACAAGATGAACGGACAGAACAGGCCTCTAATCAAGCCAAAGCGAAGATTGGTGAGTGTAAGAATCCGACCAATTTGTTACATATGCAATGACGTCATTTGGTCTGACGGCTGGACATCAACACGACTAGTATTTTTTTAACAGAATTTAACTGATTAAATACGCTAGTAAACTTTAATCAGGCGTCAGTGATAATTAATGTGTTAATATAGCGGTATGTTGTAATATTGCGAAGAACTTTTTAACGCCTTAAATAGGAATAGGCGATGAAAGGGAAATTGCAAGACAAAAGTAACAGATAAGGGAATAGCTGTTAAATTATCCATTAAATAAATGTAATAAATCATCTTTTTTATCAAATTATCCCTCCAGGGGGTGAATAATTGAATAAGTCCACGCGATGTCGAGCGATGTCGTGGGCAATAACTAGTCAACATATATGGTCATAAGCTCCTTTTATAAAGATATAGAGCAGGAATTATGGCAGTTATAAAGCGTAAACGTTTTATAGCTTTCCTAAATTGCCTTTTTAAATTTACGTTAACCTAAGTCTATGATCCGAGACCAGTTAAGTCGGGTTCACAATGTTGCAAGATAAAAAAAATCATGCTGTAGTTGGAACATAGTACTTACACGCGGACATACACAGTTCGGAGTCCATATAGAGTGGGGATATTCTTAGAATCGCACGTACTATCCTTTGTAGAGCCGCGGTATAACTTTTGTCGTATCTAAGGTCGTCTTTGAGGCAATGCGACATTCGGCTGTCGGTAGATGAAGACGCAAATGCCTCTAGGATCTAACGACCGGCTCGTGCCCGTAATATTTCTATTTACTTCAATACTCTACTCTTAAAAGTAGAGCTACTTTTAGACGAGAAATAGACGAATGGTTTACTAAATCTGTAGCGTAAATTGATGGTAACCGCAAAGTTTGAAGAAATTTTACTATCTTACTAATTTCTATAAATACGAATTTTTATAAATGCAATTGTTTAGATGTTCTGGACGAACACATAGGATACTAATTAAGTTTTATTTAAATTCCGCGCGGACGAAGTCGCTGGCAACATCGAGTGCTTTCATAATTCAAAGATTACAAGTGCAATTAGTTACTGCATAAATTACTAGTATGTTAAATATTCATATCTAGCTAAAAACGAGCTATTAACATTAATATACTAAGCGGTTGAGATGTTCACGGTTAAGTGAAAAAATTTATAGTCAGCATTGCAATTTTATACTATTCCTCTCCCAACTTCTTCAAGGATTCCATTGGAATTTTGACAACTGAAATTTCAACATTTATTCTATCACAGAACGTAAACAATAACAAAAATTAGAGTTACAATAAATTTATTTTTCTTAACAACAGTTTGTGTTGGAGTAAGTCGGTGTCGCGGCTAATTAAGTAGAGTCATGGTATTTAAGTTGATATGCAGCGAGCCGAGCACTTTTAATATTTAAAGTCAGCGTACTGTACCAAGCTACCGTTACCCAGCCAGGGCAGATTGAATCCTCACTCTTCATTTCAATTAAAGACACAATTACACACAGTTATGTATACTGTATTAAATTTTAAGACTGCGTCTTGACATAGCGGAGACATTGAATCGTAATTACGAGTCTTGATTGCTAATTTTTTAGCGTTCCGTACCCCGATAGAAAAAAACGGAACCCTTATAACACTTTGTTGTCCTTCCGTCTGTCAAGACCCCTTTTCTCAACAACGCATGGAGGTATCAAGCTGTAATTCGTATTTTATAAATTTTCGTTCATTATTTTAACTTTTAATTAGGTAATTTGAAAACGGATTAAATATATCTTTATTAGATAACATGTAACGAAACTATAACTATAACTATTTAGCAATTGAAAAATATAATAACTTAAATAATATTATAATAATAATTTTATAAATACTAAGGTATACGGTCCCTTGGAGATGTGAAAAAATCAAACTATTAAACCAAATCAATCTAAAGATATAGCAGATTATGCCAGAAATACATATAGGTTTCTACGGAACACTTGGTGCGCATGTCCGACTCACGATTGGCCGGGTTTTTTTTATTCTAATTTGAATAGAATTTCATAGTAAATATACAGTAGAGTTAATATTTCTTATCAATGTCTAACCACCTTATTATTACAATAGAATAAATCTTTTCAATAACAATAACATTGCATTCTAGTCGAATCATAAAACGCTTTTAGCTAAATAATAATTTTACAAGCACAATGCAAAATAATTTTATTAAATCTCAGAATTAGAACGGCCATTGTAAAATGTATTGTTACGAAACGTACAACGTAAGCCGACAAAGAGGTTGGAACGTTAAAACAAAGAAGTTAAGAACTAATTTTTAATTTAACATTCAAGAATTACATTAAAGTAATAACGTGATTGCACTTGACACTAAAAAAAATACATAAAAGTGGGAATCTTTGGACAATACAAATTAGATGTCTCACTCGTCCATCATAAAAATTAAAATCACCTAATAAAATACATAGACAATGAGTTCGCATTATTATATTAATGAGACGGTTTAGTTTTGTCTGTTTGTGCGTTTCGTAAATTTTGTTTTACTCTTAAACAAAGAAAGTATATGAATATAAATGTGGTAATAATTTATTTTGAATGCTTAACATTGTACAATAAAGTAAGTTTTGCCACCGACTTGTTCACTACACAGATGTTATAACGATAAAGTTTTTAATACGTGACGTTTGGATATTATTTTTTCTTACGTTCAAAGGGATGCGATCGTAAAATGCTTGTTCTGTTTGTAATTAACTTAAGAAATAAGAAGCCGCGACTCGGTATTGCGGTTCCACGGCTACTGGATGTTTTTTATTAGAACATGTATGTTTTTACTCGATTAATTTACATAGAAATGGCAATGTTACCTGCGCAAAAAACACATTAATAAATCGGATTCACTTAAATATTACAACACTGTTTTTATTTAGATACAAATGTAGAAAGGGATTATGCTTCTTCAAATAGTTGTTTGTTTTTTAATGGTTACTATAAAGTGTATCAAGTAAGTTTATGAAGGAACATTGTAAAAATGATTTACAACATTTTTGTGAAGAAAACAAAAAAAATATCAAATTTGTGTAAATAGTCGTTTTTTAAGCATCAGTACTCGATGTATAGAAGACTTAGCACGAAAATTTGCGAGAAAGTATTCGTAATGCTAACGATTAAATTCGTATTAGATTAGAACGATTAGATATCAAATATCATAAACAAATCTCATACAAATTTGTGTTTACCAATATCGCAAATATTCCTAATACACCCTCAGATATCAATGTTAGTATTGTAGTGTATATTATATCTTTAAGAATTTATAATAATGTCAAGTATATTATGTTTTAAAATTTGAATAATTTTACTTCAAATACAAGTTGAGGCAACAAGGCCTGCAGTCTTAACACATTATGCAGAGTCGTGGAAACAAAACGCGAGCGCTAGGGTTACAGCCACTTCTGTATGGAAACCCTTTAAAATAAGGACTGTAATACATTGCATATAATATTGTTATTATTTATTTAAATATCTAATAATTTTGCCATAATTAAGTTCTTTTGGTTGATTGGACAACATTTTTTAATTGAAGTTTCGGTAGTCTTTTTTATTACAAACCAAAATCAAATAACATAAAGAATAAATCATTTTAAGTGTTAATAATTCGAAACAATTTGAGTAAAACAAAAAAATTTAAAACCTTAAAAAACAATTCGTTTTATCGACTATGAGTGTGTTTGTTCCTTTACTAAGGCAATAAAATTGTGCAGAAGTGTACGCCATAAAGAGGGCTATGTGTTACGAGCGATATCCAGCAATATATTTGCTGTGCGTTTGCGCTACTCGCGCGGGAGCACCTCACGTATATGTACACCTTTATTTGTATATGTACAGTCACATGCAGTGTGAAGTAGACCTTAAAACCTTATGTCGTCGACGTACGGTCCAAATATTAGCAAATATTAATGGACGCGATTGTACCTACTTATTGTACGTATCATTATTTCTCGGACGCGCGAAAGTTTTGATGTAGACTTGGATTTATGTTTTGCTCATTTCACTGTCACTGAGTTTTTTATTTGCAAATTTTTATAAGTATGCAGTGGTGTTAATATTATTTAGATATTGTAATTCCTGGAATAGTATACGCAAAATAACCTTAAGTAAGTGAAGTTTTGTTAGTGTTATTTGTTGATATTTAATTCAATATATACAGGATTAAACTTTTACTCTATCTTACTAATATTTTAAATGGATGGATGGATGTTTGCTTAAAGGTACCTCAAAAACGGCGGAACGGATCTCGATGGAATGAGGCATACATATAGAATGTAGTCTAAGAACTTAGAACACAAAGGTTACCAATTATATTTTTTAATACCGCGCGAACGGAGTCGCAGGCGACAGCTAGTCTCTCATACATCTTAAGCAAAAGACTTAAGTGACTTCAATTTGTAATTTATTCGTTTAATAAAACAGCAGTAGATATAGACTTTCTTTATTGGCGTCAGTCTGGAATTGCAGTGCGTGTTAACTCATTCAATATGGCTTCATTCAGTGAATCGGCTTGAATAAAATATCTCCCACGCCTCCTTTCGCGGTGTGCATTCGTTAATAAGTACGATTAGGTGCTATCCAGTTTTATCACAACATAATCTGTCCGCCTCGTGCCTACTCCAAATGCATTCACAATGGCCGGTGCGTATCGCGGCCGGTCATGGAACTCGCCTATTTGGCATTCAGCGGCCAAACAAGTGCCAAATATACTATCACAATGCGAATGCTATGCCTTACGTCAACAGGAATCGGTCCCACACTGTCTGACGTTCGCCGGGGTGACGTCACATGATTTATTCCTATTTGTTTTTATGATGTAACTCAATATGCTAAACTGCGGACATTGCGGACCTTTTGTACTTAAAATTCATGTCCGTATTCGATAGCCTTAAAAGTTCTAATTCATATTAATTTTGACACCAACTGAGTTATGCAGACCTATCCGTAGTATATCAAACTAG